TAAACGAGCCCTCAACTGCTACCTTTATTCTTCTTATTCTTTTAATCCTTTAAAAAAAAATGTTTTAATACTTTTATTTGCGATTAAAACAAGTGCATCAACATCAAATTTTTAAATATAATTTTGAACACCAAATGAAAACGAAAGGTTTGGCAAATGTACATAATGAATATTTACATGATGTCATGTATTTGATTATAAAAAATTGCAAAGGATGACAGTAAAAGGGGTGAAGGTCAAATCAAAGAGTCAGAAGTCTGGGTGGGGAGAGGAAAGGAAATTTTTCAGAGAGGGTCAATGGGACAGTGAAGCATTTTCTGTGTAGGGAAAACAACTTAAGTTGACTAGTTGAAAGGGTGTTGTAGTGGTCGCATTGAGTTTTCAAAAGGTTGCTGTGTGAAAGATGAGGGAAAAGAGACAAGATTTAGAACTTTAAATAAGTTCTGGATATTGATGTTTGCGGTGGGTGGTGGGGTCGTTGGAACAGTTAAAGGGATTGTGGGGTTCTCATGTCTGAGGGTAAGGTGGATAGAGGGGGAGAGAGGAGGGGGTGGATTTTTTAAAATTTCTTTTATCCCTGTTTAAAGGATCCAAAATATAAAGAACAAACATACATAGGCACGCAAAGTACAATAAATGTATGTCATCAAAATTGAATAGAAGTATGTTATAATAAAGCTACCGTTTTTAATCTTTCAAACAAAACCTACAGTTAAGTATCCAATAAATAAAATATATTGTTTTACACAAGGTTACATAGTTAATATAAAAGTTTTGTTATGATTATTAAGTAATGAAATTTAGAGCGTTTTATTGTGTTTTTAAAATATGTCTTAGTTACACTTAGTTAATTTAACAATTCTCTTGAAAGTTATTTCCCTTGAATATTTGGATTTTCAAATGGGAGATAATTCGTTGCTTAACTTTAATTCATTTCAAATCCTGCAACTTAGTTTGACCGCTTACATATAAATAGAACTTTAAGTTATTATTTTGCTACTGTAAAAATTATATAGAGCTTAAAATTTTAAACAAAATAGTTTGGTAGGTTTTTTTAGCATTATCAAGTTGAAAAACAAATACATCAGTGGCCGTTGTAGATTGCAATACTTAATTTTAGTAGACTTACAGTCTTAGTAGTAAATTAAACATCTAATTAATAGTCTTTTCATATTTTTCACCCCTCTCCTAAAGGATTTATATATAACAATTTTAGGCTGAAATTTATAAAACATTTATAACATTTTAATTTTCAAAAACCAAAAAATCGTTACACAATCACACAATATAGACATTTTACAATTATAACTAAAGACAGTCAAACTTAAAACAGGTAAGTTCCGTTTTGGAACTCACCTTGGAGGATTTTAGAGAGTCCGACAATACAAGAACTTTTTTTTAGTGTCTTATTAAAGACTTTTTTACCCCCCCCCCCCCCGGTTTAAGGTGGGGGGGGGGGAGCACTTACAATTTTCTAAGGGGGGAGGGAGGGGGGGGGGGCTTTGTCGTAAAGTACAAAGTAGACTCGAGGACTTCGCAACAATTTCAATGGAATTGAAGGAGTTAGCAGTGTTTCTTCCAGACTTTTTTTCTCCGGGGGGGGGGGGGGGGGGCACTTGAAATTTTCGGGGGGGGGGGCGGTAGACTTTCTTCGGGGGGGGGGGGGGGGGGGCGGACACTGTTAAAAGTATATATTTTCTATATAAATTATATAAATTTCATTTCGTTCGGGGGGGGGGGGGGGGGGCGGTAAAAATTTTCCGAAGAGATGCCTCGAAGAAACTCTGGGACGAAGGAGGCAAGTAAAATTTGATTTTGATGTCTACTTATAACGTGTATGCAACTGATAATAAATTAATATGCCACTTATGCGCCATTGAGTCCATTGACTCCGATTTCAGCATGCTTTTCTTTATGGATTTGCTTCCATAGCCTTTGTCCAACCAAGAACAAACTACAAGGCAGCAGTTGTTTGATTTTGGAGTTGCCTCACCTAGAAGAGTGGCTGTCCCCAGCTAACGAGCCTCATCTGCCCGAGGCATCTGCTCGAGACTTTTCGGGTTAGCAACCATGAGCTTTACCGACTCGACCACGCCGATCCATTTATCAATAATTTCATCTTGAATAAAGAAACCCAAGTCAGCATATGAATTAATGTAATTTGTTTTATTTTATTTCAAAACCAAACCAATAATTAAAATATTAATGATAATATTTTAAACAAAAAAATAAAACACTCTTTATTTCCCAAAGTATTATAATAAAAGTCAAAGAAAAGCCTCCAGCTATAATTAAAATAAAATAAATAATTTAACAATTCAGACGTACTAAAAAGATAATAAACATCAACAAATTTGAGTACCATTATCAACATATGTATAATTAGTATTGGCTAAAAGATTACATCCAAAAATGAGATTTTTTTAAAAAAGAAAACAAGCCAAATAAATTCATGACTTTTTTTTTCAGTTTTTTTTTTATAACTAAATAACACCTTTAA